CATACAGCCTTCATTTGTCACTTTCATAATGCTAGGAAAATGTGTTAAGAAATTATGTGATATTTACCTTAAATAATTACTTAATGAATTTTCTAATCTTCACATAGAATTACAAAGAAAGGCAAAGTTAAGTTCTTTATAAATATTCAAGACAAATATTGCTTCTTTTTTCCAGCTCCAAGTACTTCTGTCAAAAGCTGTCTCCAGCCCTAGACTTCACTTTGTTCCAAATAGATGTCATTGGTGAACTTTACACAGGAATTTTTTCTTTTTGCGTAATGGAAGAGGGAAGAGTACAAAAAGTACTTGTGTGTTCTCTTATTAGCTGAGCCAGAGAAGAGAAGTTAGCCCAGACCTTCCTCCCCTCTGGTCTGTGGGGTAAGAAAGATAAAGTATTAAGTCCTCTGCACAGGTTAAAGCAAAACTTTAGCATGTTAGAATTTCTGGCAGGCAGTTAAAATAAGTCATTGTTCATCTATTGATATTTGCTGTATTTGAACTCAAAATATTTTTCCTATTAATAGGAAGACAGCTTTTTTGTTTGTTTGTTTTTGTTTTTATTTAGGCAATTGGGGTTAAGTGATTTGCCCAGGGTCACACAGCTAGTGTTAAGTGTTTGGTCTGAGGCCGGATTTGAACTCAGGTCCTCCTGACTTCAGGGCCGGTGCTCTATCCAGTGCACCATCTAGCTGCCCCAGTAGGAAGACAGCTTTGACCTTTGAGTAGGGGAACCTCCAGGGATCCCTGACCACATTTTTGAGAACCTCTGCTCTAGAAGGGTCTCTCACTTTCTGCTGTCACTTATGGCACTCACAGTGCTTTTAGAATTTGTTTTATATTTTAAATATATAAATAATAATTAGATTAAAAATATAGAAAACATTTGAAATATACAAATAATGTATTAAAATATGTAAAATTGGTTTAAATATATAAATAATAAATATAGGAAAATATACAATATACTTTAAATTAAAATTTAAAATATAAATACATAAAAATTATTAAATGTATTTAATTTCTATTTGGTGATTTTAGAATCAGAGCACCCTAAATTCCAGTGGTGGAGGGCTGTACGAGGGCATAGACTTGATGCTTTGGGATTGGAATTCACCTAGATTAGATTCTATGTACACTCTAAACAGAAATATGGTCTTCTATGGGTGGGGTCCTGCTCAATATCAAGGAGCGTGTTCCCCAAGGATCTGGGCAGTCTCGTTTGTTAGCCTTGTTCTTTAGAGTCCTTGAATAAGGAAATAAAAAGAAAAAGCTTTTTTAATGATTGGTTATTAATATAATAGAAAAATAATTTAGAAGTTGATATGAGATAGCAAGAATTATTAGATTCTTTCTTGAGCTCCAAGCTGAATGCTCATACACATATCAAGCTTCATATGTTTACAATAGAATTTATGTTCTCCTCCCCTCCCACAAATCTCAACTCTTCCAACCTTCTTCATTTCTTTGGAAAACCTTTTGTTTGTGTAAGTTGGCAGCTTCCGAGTCATCTTTGATTTCCTCTCTCCCTACTCCCCATATATCCAATTAATTGTCAGTCAAGTCTTGTCAGTTCTATAAACCAATCAATAGCTATTTATTAAGTTACTGCTATGTTCCAGGCCCTTTGCTAAGTACTGAGGATACAAAAAGAGGCAAAAGACAGTCCCTACCCTCAATGAATTTGGAGTCTAATGAAGACAACATGCAAATAAATATATACAAAGCAAGCTAAATATAGGAGAAATAGGAAGTAATTAACAGAGAGAAGGCACTGGAATTAAGGAGAGTTTCGGAAGACTTAAAGAAAGCTAAATTCTGCTACGCCCACAATATCTTTCATATCCATTCCTTCCCTCTACTGATACAGCCATCACCCTAATTAGGGGCCCTTATCAGCTCCTACTTGCTTCATTGCAATAGCTACCCCAGAGCTGTGAAACACAGCCCACAACACTCCCTCCCAGTGCTGCCTGAATCCTATGAAAACGCAGTTGGGAAGTGTTTAACAATATAAATAAATTAATAAAAAGAGAAATATATAAATATGTGGTTTTCTACAATTATGTGGCCTGCAGGGTTCTTTATGTATGGTTTAGTGGCCTCAGTTTCTATTTGAGTTTGGCACCACTGATGTACCCCAATTGGTCCCCCTGCCTTTAACCTCTCCTGTCCATGTCATCCTGCATAGCTGCCAGAGCTATAGTCCTAAAGCCTGATCACATTCAATAAATTGCAGTGGGTCCTTGTTGCCCTCAGGATAAAATACAAACTTCTTTTTCTAGAATTTAACGCCCTTCCCGATCTGGCTGCAGCTTACTTTTCATACTCATTACATATGACTGCCCTTCATGCACTCTCTGGTCCAGCCACCTAGCCTGTGCTGAAAGGCACTTCCTCTATCCCTTTACCTGATTTTCCCCATCTGGTGTCATCCTCCCACCCCTCCCCTTGCCATTCCCCATTACTTTGCATTATATGTGTACATGTTATTTACCCTGATAGCCCATCACAGTGCCTGGCACATAGTAGGAACTTAATAAATGCTCATTGACTGACCAATAGAGAGTAATTTCCTAGAAGGCAGAGAATGTATTTTTAGTGTCTGGTGGCATGTAATAGACTCTTTACAAAAAAACAAACAAATAACAAAAAAGTTTTTATTCGTTTACTTAAAGTTTTGAGTTCCAAATTCAGAAGGCAGGCACTTTAATATAAAATGTACCTGTGCAGTCATGCAAAAATTTCCATATTAGCCATGCCGCAAAAGAGAACACAAACCAAAAAGAAAAAACAAACAAAAAGCTTTTTTAAAAGTAGTTTTATAACTGCATTTCAGTATAAATGATTTCCTTTGCAATCTAATATATTTTATTTTATACTGTCTACAGTAAAAATTTTCAAGAGACAAGGTTTCTGGGTAAATTATAATCAGTTTTATCAACCGCTGCTAACAAGTGTGTTAACAAAAAGGGCTCATTTGTCCTCTCCATGACCAAGGAGACCTAACTTGTGAAATCTTCAGTACTTATAAAGCCTTTGGAAAAGGGTGTATACCTGAAGGTGGAAATCAACTTCAACTGGTTAACAAGTAATGAGAAGAATAAATATTATAATGAGAGGCGGGCTTATTCTACTGAGGGGTTGGGGAACATGACTGATCACCCAGTTTTGGTCAAAGAGAATTATCTGTATCCATATTGCCTGTCTGACCAAAGGAGAATCCACATTTTCCCAGACTTGTCTGAGTAAGACACAATAGGCCGGAATCCATCAATTCTCCTAACTTTACCTTTTGAACAAATCTGAGTTCTCAACCTCTCAGTATCAGCCCTGATTTCTGAATGAGGGAGTAGAAAAGGGGAAAGCCCTTGGTCCTAATTTAATAATTAGTTATTAAATACAAGAGAGAAATAATAATTTCTCTCAATACATTTGAAAAGATTATTCTGAGAAGGGGTCCATAGATTTCACCAGACTGTATGCTTGTGTATGCACTTGCACGTACGTATACACACAGTAAACCCCTGCTTTAAAATAAAGGTTGATGTAGAGGAAGATGGTTAAAATTATGTTGGAAGATATCAATCTGAATCAAGAAATTAAAGAGAATATAGGCATATAGAATACTAAGAAGTTTCATGTCTGTGCATGAAGACTTTCTTTAAGAAGAGAGTTGGATGTCACTAGATATAGGGAGCATTATTTTTAAAAGTCAAATTTACTAGGTATTTTAACAGCAAATTATTTTGCATTCGCTGAGGCTTAGGGTTAAAGGGTGGGGTTCAGTAACTCTGCTGTGTTTCCAAAACAATATCTGGCATTGTAGGTGTCATCTTGTTCCCATATAGCTTTAAAAAAAAATAGCCTGGAGCCTGTATGGTTCTAGGCTAATCAGCACAATTCCTGTTCTTTGGTTAGTCATTATCATAGCTCCAGCCAGCCAAAAGGACCCAGAGGCAGCCGTGAAGACTGCCTGGCTCTGTTTAAACTTGGACGTGTAGAATCCTAAAGTCCCGAAATGTTAGAGCTGCTCAGAGGTACCTAGTCCAACTTACTCATTTCACAGAGGAGGGCATTGAGGCCCTTAGAGAGGTTAAGACTTTGGCTTAATCCATCACTTAACTAAGGCACTTTATACATGAAGATCCCCTATAATAGGAACTTGGAAAGTGTAAAAGAGATACAAAAGTTAGAAAAGACAACGTCTTTCCCCATGTGAAACTTCCTGTTTATGAGGACTTGCCTAAAATAAGAAACCAGTAATTAGTGGTTACAGGTTCTGTCCCCTGGGATGGCTAATTGCATTCAAAATGAAAATCCCAGAGTTCGATTCATCAAATACTTATCAAATATTTACAGCCTTAAGCCAAGTCTAATCCTGAGCAACTGAGTCATGGGTTCAACTCCATCTTCCACTAACCCACTTAAGTGATTTTCCTCAAAAGCATGTCACCTCTTCCCCTTTAATAAATTCCAGGGGCTCCTTATTACCTCCAGTAGAGAAGATGTTATTTTAAGGAGTCCTTTCTTTTATAAATTGCATATATTTCTTCTGTGATCTAAAAAGTATATTTCTTCCCTTTCTGCCTTCATCCCCAGATCTTATCTGTTTTGTGAGTTGCATTTTTACAGGATTTCCTCAAAGTAAGGCCTTCCTCTGGTAGAAGTCCTCAAGGAGCCAGGTGGACTTGAGCTCTTAAACTTCCTCTGATGTATCTTCTCTGTGGGCTTCATATGGCAGAGGTGGAATTATTGCTATGTTATAACTAGCTGTGTAACCTTGGGCAGGTTATTTAACCCTTGTTTGCCTCAGTTGTCTCAACTGCAAAATAAAGATGATAATATCCCCTATTCCCCAGGGTTATTGTGAGGATTTTTGTAAAGTACTTAGCACTATGCCTGCCATGTAGTAAGCACTATAGAAATGCTAGCTGCTGCTGCTGCTACTACTACTACTATTACTACTACTACTAAGATCATTATTGTCTTTTTCTTTTCAGAGATTATTGTAAATACTCCCATGAAATTCATTCAGAAAAGAACATCAAAATCCTGAAAAAGCATGATCTTTCTGGACTCACCAAAAATGAGCTGGCCGTTCTCCTTCCCCAGAGTGACTCCTTTTTCCTTCCTGATGTAAGTCACAGTTCCTCAACACCAAGCCTGAGCAGACATTACTTCGTAGAAATGCCATGGGTTGTTTCAAGGAAGGTATTGTTCGGGAGGGACAAAAGTAAATGTAAATGGGGGCAGCTAGGTGGCGCAGTGGATAGAGCACCAGCCCTGGAGTCAGGAGGACCTGAGTTCAAATCCAGCCTCAGATACTTGACACTAGCTATGTGACCCTGAGCAAGTCACTTACCCCCATTACCTAGCAAAAAAAAAAAAAAAGGTAAAAGTAACAGAAAAAAAAGTAAAAGCACCCCCCACTCCCCACCCCTGCCAAAATAAGACTCATCTTAAAGGTTCTGGAAGTTTATAGGGAGACACTATAGTCAGAGTCCCCTGGCTTTGATTTAGTTCCTTTGGAGAAGTCAGGGCTGATGAGTGGTTTGGAGGTTGAGGAGTTTTCAGCATTCTTAAGACTGTTGTTCACGATCATAGGACTCCCAGCCCTTCCATACCCCAAGCCTGTTAAGAAATCTATAGCACTTTGAGGATACAATAGGAATGATTTCCTCAGTTGTAATCAAGGAAGGCTTCCTAGAAGAAGCCACCCTTACATTGGCTTTTTATGTGGGAAACTTGTAAAAGGGAAGATTGTGGATTTTAAAAGCTTCCCATAGGAAAGGACGCTGGCAGAGACATATGAAGATAGGTCAGGAGGGAATGAGTGACAAAGATGGTGAACAAAGCAGTTAAAGAAAATTAACGGGAGGGGCAGCTAGGTGGAATAGTGGATAGAGTACCCGCCCTGTAGTCAGGAGGACCTGAGTTCAAATGTGTGCTCAAATACTTACTAGTTTATGTGACCATGGGCAAATCACTTAACCCCGATTGTGAAAAAATGAAATAAAATAAAACAAAAAAGAAAATTAACAGGAGAATCAATGATGGCCAACTTGAAGAACAAGAGTGAGTGGGAATGATTGAAGACTTTGAAGGCCATAGTCTTAAATTGGGTTATAGTTTAGTGAACATTTTTTTATAGTTTGCAAAACATTTTATTTTTAAGTTAAAAAAATTTCAGTGAACAAAAATCTATTTTCTCTCCCTTCTACCCTTACCCCCCCATTGGGGAAATTTGACTTTTTTCTTGCCACTGGATTTCAGTGACTGTAGAAGAGAGAGTGAGGCTGATGACTTTTTGCAACTCTGCTTCCTTCAAATTCAGTTCATGTGCAAGTCAACACATCACCCCATGATGACATTAGTCCTTTTTGTAAATAAAGGCTGAACAACCACAGTGATTGGGGAAACACCAAACCAAACCCTTGTAACATATGTATAGTCAAGCAAAATAAAATTTTCGAAATTGGCTATGTACAAAAAACATGCCTTCTTCTCCTCCCTCAGGCCATGACCCCTCTGTCAAGAGGTGGGTAGCATGCCTTCTGTAGTGGTCCTTGGACACTGTGGTTGATCTTTGCACTGCTCAGAGTTCTTTCTAAGGTAGTAAGCATTTTAAGCCCATTTCATGACAAGACACTAACAAGATCATCAGGAGAATCTGGATTTTTAATTCATGCTTATTTCCTCCTATTAGAATCTACATGTTCCTGTCTGTCAGCCCTCTGACACATGTGCCCAAAGGGACAGATGGCAAAAATTTGAGTATATAATAACCAGGGTAGTGGGAAGAGGTGTGCATTAGCAGTGTTTGTAGTTGAGTAAGTGGGATGGGGCTTGTGATAAAATATTCTTGGCCCCTCTCCTCATGACCATCCATTTAACTCACTTTGGTGCCAAGAGTATCCTAAGCCACACCTCTGCCCACATACTAAGGTTGGTTGGGAACTTTGCCTACGTGTACATATGGGTGGGAAATACCTCATATTCTAAGGTTCTTCATCTTTTAACTTCTTCTCTGGGAGTAATTTCATTGATAATTTGGTTGTTGTCCTACTCAGTGCTTCAAGACTTGGCATACCCCTCCAGGAAAGTGGATGCTCTTATGTAAAAGAAAGAGCATTGGATTGAGAAGCAGATGACCTGACTTTTCGGTTCCCTGTCTCATTAGGGGTGACTTTGGATAAGTCACACTATCTTTCTGTTACCTTATTTTCTTCTGTCTGTAAAATGAGGCTAGTAATACCTCACCTGGGTAGTTATGGGATCGAAAAAGATGATGGCTCTAAATGCCAGCTTACTTGTTGTCTGTGCTGGCTGGACTGTAAGCTTTGTGAGGCCAAGGACTATGTTCATTTTTGCCTTTGTTTCCCGAGTGCTAGCGTGGCAGCTGGCACATAGCAGGCACTTAATAAATGCCCATTGATTTTTATAACACTTTCAAGCTTACTAAGTGCTTTCCTCCCAATACCTTGTGATGGCAGTGCACGTTACCTGTGTTACAAATTTGAAGTCTCTGAGGCTCAGAAATAAATTGCTTAAAGGCACACAACAAGTGTCAGAGTCGCGATTCGAATTCAGATCTGTCCAACTCCAAGTCTAACACTCTTTCCACTATACCACACTGCCTTTACACTTATCAATATCAGTGTTATCTACTCTTTAAAAGATTGTTTACCCCTTACCTGACCGTACTCTATTGGCTTTTCACCTCTCCCTCTGCTTTCCTTTACATAACCCTACTCATCATCTGCACCATGACCTCCCATCCTTTGACCCCTCAATTCCTTCCCAGGCCATCTCCCCTTCACTAGCCAGTCTCTCCTCTTCTACCTGTCTTGACTTCCTGGTGAACTAATTTAACTCTACACTGTTCTCCTGTCTTGAATCCCTAGCCGCCTTATCATATTGCCAGTTATACCCAACCAAGCCTTAGCTTTGGACTGCCCCAACCATTCACTGCCTTCTTGCTTACACACATGCTACTGAATGAAGGTGGAGAAAATCCTGCAATTGTTGGGACTAGGTCTACTTCAAATTTATGTTACACAACCTCAGTTGAGCCCTCAATGCTATTTTATAGTTCTACCATGCCTCCCTTAGCAACTCACTATCCTGCTCTCCACAGATTCAGATTTTTTTCTCCCCTCTTCACACCTCTCATGTTTCCCCTTCCCCCAGTGTCTTAGCTGAGAACTTTGCTTCATATTTTAAAGAAAAAATGGAGGCCATTTGCCATGAAATCTTTTTTTTTTTCATGAATTTTTTCTTCTCCCCTTATCCACACCCCCTGTCACTAATACTTTCTGCCACTATCTCTTTCTTCACCTCTGTCTCACATGATGAAGTGGCCTTACTCCTTACCGAGGCTAATCCCTCTACTTGTTCAAGTGATCCTGTTCCATCCCCTCTCCTCCAACCGATTGCCCCTTCTGTTGTCCCAACTCTTTCACTTATTTTCAATCTCTCCTTCTCTACTGGCTCCTTCCCTGCTGCCTACAAACATGTCCATGTCTTCCCTATCCTGAAAAAACCCTCACTTGACCCTTCTATTCCTGCTATCTCTTCTGCCCTTCGTAGCTAAATTTCTAGAAAAAGCTATCTACTTTAGGTCCCCTCACTTTCTCTCTTCTCACTCTCTTCTAAACTCTTCACAACCTGTCTTCCAACCTTATCATTCCATTGAAGCTGCCCTCTCCAGAATAACTAATAATCTTTTAGTTACCAAATCCAATGGACTTTTCTCAGTCTGCATTCACTTTGACCTCTCTGCAGCCTGTGACACTGCTGACCACTCTGTCCCCCTAAAGACTCTCTTCTCTCTAGGTTTTCGGGACACTCCTCTTTTGGTTCTCCTCCTACCTATCTGATCTGTCCTTCTCTGTCTCCTTTGCTGGATCCTCTTCCAGGACACACCCTGGGCCCTCTTCTCTTCTATATTACTAAACTTGGTGATCACAATATCAGCCCTCGTGGATTTAATTGCTATCTCTATGTTGCTAATTCTTATATCTGTCTTTCCTGCCCCAATCTCTTTGCAGACCTCTAATCCCGAATCTCCAGCTGCCTTTCAGACATCTTGAATTAGATGGACAATGACCATTTAAACTCAATATGTCCAAAACAGAACCTTCCCCTCCTCCTACCTTCCTTATTACTGTCTAGGGCAGGGGTGCAGCTTTGAAATTTGTTCTGTGAAGTTTGGATTTGGTCAGAGGGCTGCACTTGAGCACCTAGAGGGTTACATGTGGCCTCGAGGCCTCAAGCTCCCCACCCCTGGTCTGGGGCAACACCATCCTCCCGATCCCTCAGACTCATAACGTAGGATTCATCATGGATTCCTCACTATCTGTCATCTCCCATATCCAAGCTGTTGCTAAGGTCTGTCGATTTCACCTTTGCAGCATCTTCTAAATGTGCTCCCTTCTGTCTTCTGACACTGCCACCACTCTAGTGCAGGCCCTCATCATCTCATGCCTGGACTATTGCAATAGCCTGCTGGTGGGTCTGCATGCCTCAAGACTCTTCCCCCTCCAGTCTGTCTTCCAGCCACTAAAGTGATTTTCCTAAAGCACAGATCTGATGTCATTCCCCTATACCCCACTACATCCCTCACCATGGCTTTCTGTTGCCTCTAGGAACAAATACAGAATGCTCTCTTTGACATTCAAAGCCCTTTATCACTTAGCCATCTCTGACCTTTCCAGTCTTCTTACACCTTACTTCTGATATGTACTCTTTGATCCAGCAACACTGACCTCCTGACTGTTCCATGAACAAGACACTCCATCTCTTGGCTCTGGGTATTCTCTCTGGCCATCCCCCATACCTGGAACGTTCTCTCTCCTCAACCCTAACTACTGACCTGTCTTCCTTTAAGTCCCAACTAAAATCCCACCTTCTATAGAAAGCCTTTCACAACCCCTCTTAATTCCAGTGCCTTCCCTCTTTTAATTCTTAGTTTTCCAATATAGGTTACTTTGCATATATTTGTTTGTATATATTTGTATATTGTATATTTTTTGTGTGTATTGTTTGTATATATTTGTGATGTGTATATTTGTTTGTAATATTGCATATATTTGTTTGTATATTTTTGCATTAGATTATAAGCTTCTCTTTTGCTGCTTTTTGTATCCCCAGAGCTTAGCACAGAACCTTTTATATAATGGCTGCTTAATAAATGTTTATTGATTGATTGATCAGTTCCTCCTGAAGATCATTATTTGTCAGTATCTCCTGGTCAGCCTTTGGATGCTTTATAAATAGCATTAATTCAGTAGGCTGGCCAAGAGTATAGAATGTGCTTTTAACTTTGTCTTCATTGCTTCACTTTACCCATTGTAGGCATCTTTATGTGTTCATACTTTGCTTCCTAAAGGTAAGATGGCTGCTGCTTGAATTGCTGAAATGTCTTCTGTCTGGTTACTCATTCTCATCATTGATATCCTTCCTCTCTTCCCCAGATATGTAAATACTACAAGGGAGAAAACAGGCAAGACTCTTGCTCTAAGAAGACAGAATGCATGAAACTGCACATCTGTGAACACTTTCTTGAAGGGAAATGCGGCTTTGTCCACTGCAATCGGTCACATAACTTGATGGATACAAAGGTCTTGGAGTTTCTCAAAGAAGAGGGATTCACCGAGTTAGTAGTTAGGAATATCCAGGACATCTGTAATCAGAAGCATGCCAAGAGTGATAAGCATATTTCCAGAAGAGGTGAATTTAATTAATAGTTAGGATAAGGGCTAATAAAGGGGCATATTGATATTTACTTTCATCAGCCAAACTCTGCTACTATGTCTTACCCACCTTTAACATATTAACATCTGCTGTGATACATTTCCATGGCCCATGAAATGCAGTCCCATCTTATTTCTGCTTCTCAGCTTCCTTCTTTCCTTTTCAAAGGTCAGGTCAGGTACTTCTTCCTTGCTTCATCTCCCCAGATGAAAGTGCTCTCTGATACTGTTAGAGTACTCTGCGCAATTACTCCTGCGCACAGTTTTATAGTTATCTGCATCTGTCATGTTACAGTAGAAAAAAGCCCTGAGTCAGAGAGCTTGGGTTTACACCCCATCTCTGACACTGAACAATGTGACCTTGGGCCAGTCACTTAAGTTTCTTAGGCCTCAGTCATCTCATCGGTAAAATAAGGAAGTTGGACCAGTGGGTCTGTAAGATCCCTTCCAGCTCCAAATTACAACCCTGTGCTATATCTCCTCCTCTGTCACCCTCCCTTCCCCCCGCAAGGATAGAAACTTCGAGAGGGAAGGGGCTGCTTTATTTTTGTCTTTGCATGCCTAGTGCTTATTACAATATTTGCCATATGGTAAGCACTTAGTAAATGTCTGTTGAATTGAAATAAACACTCCCAGTCTAGTACAGGTGGACCTTAGCTTATCTGTCCCATATACAGTCATCACCATCACCCCGTTTTCTCAGTCCTCATTGTTCTTGAGTTCTCTGGTGCATTTGACATCAAGATGTTGACTTTTCTCTCCTCTTGTCTCTGTATTTTCTTGACATTGCACTCTCTTCCTAGAGAGGAGTGTCTGACCACTCCTTAGTATCTTCTTTGCTGGTGTGTCATCCGCATCATGCCCTCTAACTGTGGTTGGACCCTAAGATTCCGTCCTACACTCTCTTCTTTTTCTCTCTCGGTTCTTTTTCTTGATAACCTCATTAGCTCCTAACTAATTTTCTCTGTGTAGATGACTCACAGATCTCTGTATCCACCCCTATTCTCTCCCTTGAACATCAATCTCACATCACCCACTGCCTGTTGGACGTTTTGTACAAGATGTCCAGTCGACATCCCAAATTCAACATGTTCAAAACTCAGTATCTTTTCCCACAAACCCGTCCCCCTTTTAAACTTCCCCATTTCTGTTGAAAGTACCTTGCATTGTTCCAATACCTTCTCTTCATAACTTTGGCATTATTCTTGACTACTGACTCTCCTTTACCCCATGCATGCAAGTCCATCGCTGCATCTTGTAATTTCTGCCTCTGTAACATCTCTCCCATCAGATTTCTCTCTACTCACACAGTTACCTCTTAGCTCAGGCCCTTTGGATTATTTCCACAGCCTTTTTCATTGGTCTCTCTGCTTCAGCTTTCTCCCCACCCTAGCCTGACCTCCACGCAGATGCCAAAATGATTTTCTTTCAGTACAGTTCTGTCCATGTCACTCCCTTACTCAGTAAACTCTTAGTGGCTCCTTATTGCCTCAGCTTCTCTGTTTAGTTTTTCAGGCCTTTCACAACTTGGCCCAGCTTGTCTTTCCAGCCCCCTTTTACATTACTCATCCTTCTGCAGTCTTTGATCCAGCCAAACCAACCTTCTTTCCCTTCCTCAGATATCGCACTGTGCTCTTTTCTCTGTGTGCCTTTGCCTTACCTGTCCTACATCCCTGGAATGTATTCTCTCATCACGTGTGGAGTCAGGAAGGCTCATCTTCCCGACGTCAAATCTGTCCTCAGATACTTATTAATTGTATGACCCTGGCTCAGTCACTTAACCCTGTTTGCCTCAGTATCTTCATTTGTAAAATGAACTGGCAAAGGAAATGGCAAACCACTGTAGTATCTTTGCCAAGAAGGGTCAGGCAAGACAGAAGAACCCCATTTTCCCCATGAGTCCTGTGGTTTTTGTTTCTCAGTTTTGCATAATGTGTTTTTTTGGAATACAAGTCATTGCATAACAGAACTGACTCTGTGTGTATGAATATATATGTGTACATATATGTATATATTATACTTCTTGTCTTTCCTGTTAGAATGTGTGTGTGTGTGTGTGTGTGTATATATATATGATATATGTAATGTATATGTACATATAATATGTATAATATATATGATATATGTGAGTGTGTACACGTATACACACGTGTGTGTGTATATATATGTGTGTATACATATATATTATACTTCTTGTCTCTCCTGTTAGAATGTGTGTGTGTGTGTGTGTGTGTGTATAATACATATACATATATGGGTGGGGGTACATATATGGGTGTGTACATATATATACATAGATACATGTGTGCATATATGTATGTATATATCTATATATCCTGGTTGTGCCAATTCCTAATCCTTTGACCTTGGGCAAGGCACTTACCCACTTTGGGTCTCCGTTTCCTTGTCTTTAAAGTAAAGAAGTTAGACTAGATTATCTCTAAAGTCCTTTATAGCTATTCAGCTATGTTCCTGTAATTAATTGTACTCATTTTCTGTGTTCTGTTTTTCATTCTGTCCTTCTTCTTGTCTCCCAATCTCCTCATCCCCTTTTCCTCAGGCCGGCCAAACCAAAAAAATGTAGGAAGTAGGAGCCAAAGTAGGAATCGTTATTATTTTGGGAGGCAAGAATTATCTCCATCTCCATCGCCTTCTGCTTCTGTTGGAACTGCCCGCATTCCAGAACGAGATCAAACAGGCCCGGCGCCATTGCCATCCTCCAAAGGCAAAGTGAGTGAGAGCGGAGTCACCAAGAATAGCGTTGCTTTGAGTCGAGATTGTGTCCAGTCAGTATCAGCGTCTCCTAAGACTGCCAGTACCCAAGAAGTAAGTCAAGTTGGAACAGACTTGGGCTTTCCAGTAACTGACCATATCGAAGGCCACTGTGGGAGCCAAGATGGCGTCCAGCATGCTGCCTCCATCTCTCCACTGGCTTCAGCTGACAAGAGAACCACGCCTGCAGTGAGTAGCCATGCTTCCAGAATAGTGAATGTGTTCTTTGGGAGTGAAACTGACTCCTTCTTGAGTCCAAGTCCCGTAACCACTAGCAAAAACGGATTAATGTCCTCCCTCAGTTATACAGATGCAGGAGATGACTGTGGAAGTCAGAAGGCTTATTCTTCACCTCCTCCCAAGAAAACCGTTGATATGCAGGGCATAGAAAGCAGTGCTGTGGTGTTTTCAAAATACAAACCAACAACTAATCTAAAGAAAGAAGAATCCTCTTCTAAGAGTACAGACAGCAAGTTAATGCTGATGAATTCCAAAATGACTGAGACAGCAATGTGGATATGCAACCTGGAAATCCCAGTTGCAAATAACATAGTAGCTAATGACAGTTGTAGTGTGAGATCAGGAACATCATATAATAAGCAGTCGCAGCGACGGGAATCAGCAGCATGTAAAGTTGATGCCACGACTCTGAGCTCGGAAGGAATGGTTAGAGATGAAATAGAAAAGCCCTTTCATCTGCCTCAGTTTATCCAGGCGTCTCCCGTGTCTAACACAGCAACGGCCCGTGTACGACCAAAAGCATCATCTGCAAGTGATGTCTCCCAGGGCAGAATTCAGAAGAGCGTTTTAGCACAGTCTTCTTCACCGACAGGTAAGATGAATGCTGGACTTTTCAGATCTAAGTGTGAAATGCCAAAACCAACCCGTTGTTCCTAGAGTCTGAGGTTAGGGTGTGGCTGTGGTGGGCAGGTCATTTTCACTGGTGGGGTTGTTGGCAATAACATCAGGGAGCTTGGGGGACTTAAAGTGAGTAGAATAATATTATTATGATTATTGTTATTATATAGTATTATAAATTAATAGATAATATATTGAATAATTATGAATATGTTAATAATAGTAGAAAGAATAATAATTTGGGGATGAAACTTGCAATTTCGTTGGTGTAATGAACATCTGATGAGGAATCTCTTTGCCAATGTGATCATACATAAACACACAAATAAATATATACAGGCATATACACATAAATAAAAGGAGATGTATAGTTATCTCCTTTAACTTCACAATGACCCTGTGCGGAGAGCATAGGAGATATAATTGTTCCCATTTTAGAGCTATGAAGTGACAAGTTTAGTAAGAAATGGGGCTGGGATCCTATCCCACTTGTGTATTTTACAATCTTAAATTGTTGCCTAGAGAACTGAGAGTTTAAGTGACTTGCCTAGGCTCATGGTGCCAGGATGTGTCAAAGTGTTAGGTAGTGACCTGACTTCAAGGCTAACTCTATCCATTATGCTTCTATTATTAGGATTATCATTATTGTTATTATCTTCATATTATACATTAAGTTTTATAGATCACTTTGTATACCTGATGTTCCAAAATTCTTAGTGTGGTTTTAAGCTATTAAATATTAAAGTTTGTTTATTGTGGTTTTTTTTTTTTGAGCCACACAATTACCCTATGAGACAGGTACGCGAGGTGTTACTATACTCATTCTGTTAACTGAGGCGCAGAGAGTTTAGGGACTTGCCTATGGTCACCCTGCTATAGTAAATTTCAGTCAGGTTTTCATAAATCATAGATTTTAGAGCTGGAAGGGACCTTATGGAATTTCTGCTCCAACCCACTTAGTTTTACAGATGAGGAAATTGAGACCTAAGAAGATTCAATGACTTGCTCTAAGTCACACAGCGTATTAGGTGAGAGAGTCAGGATTTAAACCCAGCTCTCTCCTGACTCCCAAGTCCAGCACTTCTCAGGCTATAGTGTAACAAAAGAGGGGGAAATGCAATTAGGAAAGCAGAACTATCTCCCCAAATCCCTTGAAAATAAGAAAATGTTAGAAATAGAAATATTATTAGGGCTGTGTTTAGCAAGTAAAATATGACATCATGAAAAGAGGAAGAAAGAAAAGGATTGAGGCCTAATGTCAAATAAAGAACAACTTTGATGTTATGTGTTGGGGGGACAGCAAGCAGGAATCTAAGCAACATAGTTCAATAAGAAGATGTGGGATTGGTTTCTGCCACTCTTATTAAACTTATCATTTCATTATTTGGAGCCTCAATTTCCATAGCTCTGAAATGGGGATAATCATATCTCCTATTCTCACCTTGCAGGGTTGTTGTGAAGATCAAAGGAGATTAATATACGTTAGATGTTTGTGTATGGATGTATTTACATACTTTGAAAAAGCTGTAAAGCGCTAAATAAATGTAAGCTATTACTAATGAAGACTTGTGGTTATCTAAGATAAAGCAAAAATAAAGATTATGATCAGACCTCAGAATTTCATTATCCTCTAGTGATGCAAGCTACCTCCATCTCTATGCCAACCTCAGACCACAAGACAGCCACGTCTTCCCAGAGGAAAAAGGATGTTCATAAGCAGTGGTTATCTGATCGTCAAGCGGGTTCTGTTTTTACCTCTGGTTCTAGTCAAAGTCCTGGCACCTTGACCACAAACAAAAGCAGAGTTGTGTCTCCTTGCAAAAGTACAAATGCAGAGGGTAAGTAGAGACGTCAGACTGGCTGTTCTTCATCTGCTCTGAATAAGACCGTTTGAGAGATGTACACAGTCTTGTCCTGGAGTATCTTCATTTTGTTATTATCATTGTTACAGACCTGTGATTCTGTCTATGTAGGGAGCTTTCAGGTGCTGAAATACCTTCAGAAATAGTCTTCCCATCTTGTCCAGATTGGTCGTGCGGTCTCCACACCTGGGCCTGATCCCACCACTGCTCAGCCCACAAGGTTTGGCTGGCTCTGTTTCTGACCCAGGTTCTTCTCCCCTCCTTAGGCAGCCTGGTAGCTCCCATCTCTCTGGGGCCTGCCATATTGGTGCCAGACTGAGGGCGGATGGACATCTGATCTGCACTCAAGTGATTCATTAGCCTTCCTGGTATCAGGGAATTATAGCCAAGTGCTACAGCTTGGGCTGGGGTTCTTAACCCGAGGTCCAGGAACTTACATTAAAAATAAGGGTGTGTGGGGCAGCTAGGTGGCGCAATGGATAGAGTACTGGGCATGGCGTCAAGAGGACCTGAGTTCAAATATAGCCTCAGACAAGACACTTGACACTATCTAGCTGTGTGACCCTGGGCAAGTCACTTAAACCCAGTTGCCTCATCCAAAAAAAAAAAGTATGCATACACACACACACACACACACACACACACACACACACACACACACACACACACTTCACTGTTTCATTATAATAGTTTTCCTTTTTAATTTCATGTATTTAATTTTATGCATTTAAGGACATTATTTTGGGGGCAGCTAGGTGGCGCAGTGGATAGAGCGCCAGCCCTGAAGTCAGGAGGAGCTGAGTTCAGATCTGGACTCAGACCAAATACTTGACACTTAACTAGCAGTGTGACCCTGGGCAAGTCACTTAACCCCAATTGCCTTAAAAAAAGAGAAAAAATCCCTAGAAACTAAAGACATTATTCTGAGTTGGGTTCTGTAGGCTCCACCAATCTGCCATAAGAGTCCATTGTGCAAAAAAGTTTGCAAACCCCCATCTTAAGGAGTTTCTTAGGGTAGTGAGAAACTGAGTGGGTTGCCCAGGAGCACATAGTCAGGATTTACCAGTCAGTCAGCATTTATTAATTTTTTAATTAAAAAAATTTTTTTTAAACATCTGTCTTTCCCCTCCCTCTCCCTTTCTCTCTCCCTCCCTTCACTGAGAAGACAAACTAAAAAAATCCCGTTACAAATATAAATGGTCAAGCAAAACAAATTCCTGAATTGACTATGTGTTTAAAAAAAAAGTCTCTGTCTTCATTATGAATCCATCACTTCTCCATTAGGAGGATGGGTAGCCTTCAAGAAGCACTTATTAAATGTCTGCTATATGTCAGATATGAGATTGACATCTAAATTGTCCTGACTTGAAGCCAGCTTTCTGGGCACTATACCCCGTTGCCACTCCTTTGTGGTACCTGTCACCACAAAGCCATGGCTAGTGGAGATAGAGGTTGAAATCATTACCTGACTGTTCACCTCCAGCGTTCTCGAATTTGTTAGCCCAGCAGCAATTGAGAATTTAGGAGTCAGCTAATAAGCATTTATTAAATGCTCACAATGTATCAGGCACATTGCTAAGCTCCAAGAATTCAGAGAAAGACAAAAGACAGTCCCTGCCCTTGAGGAGCTCACACTCTATTGGGAGAGACAACATGTAAACAACTATGTACAAAGAAGATATATACGAGATAAGTGTGAAATAATAATAGAGGAAAGGTGCTAGAATTAAGTAACAAAGGTAGATTGCTTTGATAATCAGTTACATCCCGTGTTTGCCCCCAAAGAACCCAGACCTGCTTATGTGAGTTTTTTCCTTCAGGAAAGCCAACATTTTGTGTGTCTTCTCTTCTTTAGATTTCAAAGACAGAGTTTCTAATGCAACACCTTCAGGAATGGCGAATAATGGCTCTGATAAGATTTGTCTTGACTACCTCAGTGCGGATTGTAAACTGCAGAGTAAGTAATGTTGAGAGAATTAATCTAGAGAATATAGAAGCTGTGGAATTTGACCTGGGTTGGAGTGGGTGGGGATGAAAAGTGCATCTATGAACTGGACCTGTAATGCTGTTAATTTAATGAAGTCTCTCAGATGAATGGACTTCCTTTACTATAGATTGGCATCTTCTCTGCAATTTATAGTCTTAGCTTTAAAGGCTACCAAGAGATTAAATGACTTGCCTAGGGTCATACAGCCAATGGGTATTCAGTTTGATTGGGTCAGCTCTCAATTTGCCCTTTGTCGATTATCTTGTTGGAGAGATTTTAAAAGGCCTTTTCTGTGTCCGTGTGTTCAGAAAGATCTGGGGAGCCCAAGGCCATGTGAGGGTTAAATATGAAATATACAAACTCTCGGTTCCCCACATTTTGGGGAATCTTGTGGAAGGGTACCCACTTGGGGTGTAGTCAATTTAATATAGCCTGCTTTCAACTCTCATCCTCAAAGCCCAGAGAACTGCACGTTGACTTGTTTTGCTACTAGAAAGTTTACCTGAAATCATTAATTTAGTCCCTGACAGAATTCTCTTAACTTTTTATAACTTCCTTCCATTCCTTTTGAATTTCCCTTCCTTTTAGTCAAAACAGGAAAGATGAAGAGAAAGCCATCAAGGTTTAGTGTAGTACAGCACTTTGGAATTTTCTTCTCAATTAGGATGTTTTTGCCTCTATTTCTTTGGCAACAAAGTCATTCCTATTCCTCACCCCCTTGCCTCCTCCATTTTATATCAGGAATCTATATTTAATAGCTCTGACTTTGTCTCAGGCTTGCCAGTTCCTGTATAATTCCAGGAGCAATTGTGTTTTTTAAAAGCCATAAAGAAGACTTCAAGATGGTTGAGTAGAGGAAGCCGCTGAGCTCTCCCAACATTTCCCTCCAGACAACTTTAAAATAATGCCTCAAATTGAATGTTAAAGCAGCAGAGCCAACAAAAGATCAGGGTGAGGCGTTTTTCTAACCAAAGACAATTTAGGAAGGCAAAAGGGGGTTGGCCTAGAGCTCATGTGGCAGCAACACCAGTGGTGGGCCTTGGAGACGGCAGCAGTGGCGGCAGCAGCAGCTTCTGAAGGTCTCAAACCAGAAACAGTGATCAGGCAACCGGTCAGAAAGAGATGACAGGGGACCCCTGTGCTAGCAGTGGTTGTGGGAAGGATGCAGTATGGCTACTCCATTACCTATACCCACTCACAGGATAGGTCCAGGGCAGAGAGTAGTGCTTGCTGTCCCAAGGAATCAGGGGCCTTGAGGAACAATTGCAAGGGAGCAGTGACTAGAACTCTAACCACCTTAGAAGTACCAAAAGCTTCCAATCCCCAGAGCTAGCTCTGAAAACAAAAGTGTGAAAATGTCTGAAGTTTGGGACTGTGTGCCCTGGAGCCCTGCTCCCCCCCCCCCCCCAGCCCAGCCTAACTTTGACATAAAGTTCAAAATCAAGAAATAGGCTAGAAAGATGAGCAAACAACAAAAAAGAATACTACCGTAAAAAGCTAATGTGTTGACAGGGAAGATCAAGACACGAACTCAGAAGATAACAGTGTCAAAAACAGCTGCAAACAAAACCTCAAAGGAAAAAAATATTGAATTGGACACAAGCTCAATAAGAATTCCTGGGAGAGCTAAAACATTATTTTGAAAATCAGATAAGAGTGGTAAAAGAAAAATGGGAAAAGAAATGAGTGTGATAGAAGAAAAAATTATGAATAGACAGGTAAGAGCTTGGTGAAAGAGGCACAAAAACACTGAAGAAAAGAAAACCATAAAAAGCAGAATTGGCCAAATGGAAGAAGAGGTACAAAAGCTCACTGAAGAAAATAAGTCCTTGAAAATTAGACATGAGGAAGTGGAGGCTAATGACTCCATGAGATGTCAAGAAACAATACAACAAAGTATTGAAAAACAGAAGAAAATGAGGAATATCTTATCAGAAAAACAACTGACTTGGAAAATAGAGGAGAGGCAATTTAAAAATTATTGGACTACCTGAAACCCATGATCGAAGAGCCTAGACATCATCTTTCAAGAAATTGTCAAAGAGAAACTTCCCTGGTATCTTTGTTCCAGAAGGTAAAATAGAAATGAAAAGAATTTACCAGTCATTACCTGAAGGAGATCCCAAAATGAAAACTCCCAGAAATATTGTAGTCAAATTCCAGAGCTCACAGGGTCAAGCAGAAACTATTGCAAGCAGCTAGAAAGAAACCGTTCAGATATCATGGACCCACAGACAGGATCACAACAGATTTAGTGGCTTCCACATTAAAGGACCAGAAGCCTTGGAGTGTGATATTCCAGAAGGCAAAGGAGATAGGATTACAATCAAGAATAATGTATCCAGGGGCAGCTAGGTGTGGCGCAGTGGATAGAGCACTGGCCCTGGAGTCAGGAGGACCTGAGTTCCAATCTGGCTTCAGACCAAACACTTGACACTTACTAGCTGTATGACCCTGGGCAAGTCACTTAACCCCAGTTGCCTCAAAAAAAAATTTAATGAAATAGAAGACTTTCAAGCATTCCAGACGAAAAGATCAGAGATGAATAAGAAATTTGACTTTCAAATACAAGACTAGAGAAAAGAGTTAAAAGGCAAACATGAAAAATAAATCATAAGAGACTCAATAAGGTTAACTGTTTATGATACAGATAACTCCTAGAACTATATGATAGCTATAAGGACTCTGTGTAGATGGAGGGCACAAAAATGAGTTAATTATGTTGGGATAATTAATAAAAAATGGATTTGTGAGAAAGGGATGAACTGGGAAAAGTGGGAAGAGATAAGAGGAATGGGGAAAATTATCTCACATTGAAGAGGCAAGCTAGGAAAAGCTTTTACAGAGGAGGGGGAAATGCTAGAAGAAGCAGGCAACACTGAACCACATTCTCATCTGAATTGGCTCAAAGATGGAAGCATACACACTCAGTTGTGTTTAGAAATCTGTCACAGCCAACAGGAAAGTAGGAGGGGAAAGGAGTCAGAGCAGGGGAAGGTGGTGGGATAAAATGGAGGTCAAATTAAGAGAGGCAGTAGTGAAAAGTAAAACAGACTTTTGAGGAAGGGCAGGGTAAAAAGAGAGAAGAATAAACAGAAGAAAATGGATGGAGGGAAATGGACAGTTAGTAATTGTAACTGTAAACTTGAATGAAATGAATTTTCCCATATAATGGAAGCAGATAGCAGAATGGATTAGAAACCAAGAAACACACTTGAAACAGAGACACACCCACAGAGTAAAAGTACCGGGATGGAGCAGAATCTGTTGCGTGCCAGCTGTAGTGAAAAGGGCGGGATGGTAATCATGATCTCAGATGAAGCAAAAGCAAAAATATACCTAATTTAAAAAGATAATCAGGGAAACTACATCTTACTAAAAGTATTGTAGACAGTCAAGTAATATCAGTATTAAACATATGCACCAGAGCAAGGCATCCAAATTCTTAAAGGAAAAGTTAAATGAGTCAGAGGAGAAGATAGACAGTAAAACCATACAAGTGGGAGACCCCAACTTTCCCCTCTCAGAGCTAGATAAATATAAAATAAATAAATAAGATAAAGTAAGAAAGAAATTAAGGAGAGGAATAGATTTTTAGAAAAGTTAAATATGATAGACCTCTGGAACAAATTGAATGGGAATAGAAAGGAATATACTTTTTTCTCAGCTTCTCAAACATTGTACCTCATCAAAAAGTTGTTCCCTACCAGGTCTGTACCCCAAAGAGATTTTTTTAAAAAGGAAAAGAATATATATGTACAAAAATATTTATAGCAGCTCTTTTTGGAGTGGCAAAGAATTGGAAATGAAGGGGCAATCCCCTTGGGGAATGGCTGAACAAGCTGTGATGTATGATTGTAATGAAATACTATTGTGCTATAAGAAATGATGAGCAGGATGATTTCAGAAAAACCTGGACTTAGATGAACTGATACAAAGTTAAGTGAACAGAACCAGGAGAACATTGTGCACAGTGATAACAATATTATAAGATGATCGACTGTGACAATTCCAAAGGATCCATGGTGAAAAATGCAGATGGAAACATCTTTTCTCCTTTCTTTGTTTTCTGCTCTTTATTTATTTATTTATTTATTGCAATATGGCTAATATGGAAATATGTTTTGCATGACTTCACGTGTATAAATGTTGTATTGCTTGCCTTCTCAGTGGATGGGGAAGGGTTAGGAGGGAGGAAGAGAATTTGGAATTAATAATAATAAAAAAAGAAGGGTAAACATAAGTGAATGTTTTTTTTTTTTAAGGATAGAGGACTCCCATAATGAAGGCATCTTCTGTCAAGGCAAATCAGCACCCTGTCACTTAATAAGTCCTTCAGAGTTGTCTAAAATACATAGAGCTTAAGAGAGTTGAGTAGTATCACTCAACTAATAAGTATGAAAGATGAGGTCTGAGCCCATGTCTTCCTGACCTTAGCCAACTACTTGTCACTGCCTCTTGGTATTACATAAAGTGAGAGTTCCTTTGAGTTTGCCACAGAATTATATTTTAAAACATCAGGATATTTGACTAAAATTGTTACTTGAATCTTAATTTATTCCTTGTTCTAATTAAGCTTCTTTTCCTTTTCTTTTTTTGCTAGGCAATGGGGTTAAGTGCCTTGCCCAGGGTCACACAGCTAGTAAGTGTCAAGTGTCTGAGGCCAGATTTGAACTCAGGTCCTCCTGACTTCAGGGCCGGTACTCTATTCACCGTGCCATCTGGCTGCCCCTGACTAAGTTTATTTTCATTAAAATATTTTTTTAAAAAGAGAAAGGCAAAGAAGGTACTAAGAATCACAGTTCTTGGGCTGTCTGTCAACATTAATTTAATTGTTGGTGTTCTAAATGTGAGGTGTTTGTCCCAATCAGCAGCTAATTGACTTACTGTTGGATGAATTTAACCAGATCATCATTGATATTCTTTCCATAAATGAAACCAAAAAGCAGTTTTCCTTATTTCCTGAAAATTGTATTATATTCTTCATTGTCAGCAAAAATTGCTTTGTATTCTACCGTTCTCTGATTCTTCATACTTGTGTGACCGTGGGGAAAGTCACTTAACCTTTCGTGGGCTCAGTTTTTTCATCAGTAAAATGAGAGGGTTGAACTAGATGAACACTAAGGTTTGCTCCAGTTCCAAATTTTACAATCTCATATTCTAGTAAATGAACGTAGCTGGAGTCAACATTTTGTATGTCTTCTAGTGGTGAAATATGGTAGTTGCAGGCTTATGCTTAACCAAAATGTACTGAAAACAAGTTTTAAGAAATTGTTCTGCATTCCAAGATTGCATTGTGGTGAGGTGGAGGGTGTCCGTACTATAGTGGAGATGGGTTGGCAGAGAGGTGGTAAAGGACATTCTAGGTGGGAGATATATCATAACTGTAAAGAGTATAATAAGGAAACTGGGAAGGTAGGAGTGAAAAGGCCTTGATTGGAGGTGATATTAATAGATGAGCTTGAATAGGACAAAATAGGTCTTACCTTGGCCCTGGGAATTCTGTGCTTTTTTCCAGGCTGCTGCAAGTTCATCCATTTTCATTTACCCTACCGATGGCAGGTGTGCATTTCTGACAACTGGAAAGACTTTAAGGACATGGAGGACATTGAGAGAGCTTATTGTGACCCAGGCATCTCCAAGTAAGTTGGTGTCTACACCCTGTAGAAAGGAACCAGTTGGGTCTGCAAAACGCACTTTCTGCTTAACCTTCATTCAAACTTGAGACACGTGAAATGGGCAAATTTCAGCTGATTGAGTGGAAGAGTTCAAGACCTTAGATTTAGAGCTGGAAGAGACCACAGAGGCCATCCAGTCCAACCCCCACCTTTTGCAGATGAAGAAACTGAGGCCCATGATGTTGAAGTGAACTGCCTGAGGTTATGTGGATAGTAAATATCAGATGTGAACTTTGAACTAAGGTCCTGGACTTGAGACCCAATATTCTTTCTGCTCATCTGTGGCAGATGGAATGACTCAAATTCATAATTAAATGATTTCATTTTTTCAGATACTAGCAGATTTTTTTTGTTCAGTTTTAATGAAGTTGTTTCCAAAATTAATATCTGACAACCTACTTTTTTTCTCTAAGCACACGCTTATGAACATATATACACACAATTATTATGGTTCCTTGCTGATCATAAATCTGTAAAAAATATGTAGCAATATAAAAATATTCACTTTGGTGTAATTGTATGACAACATTTAAGCATTCGTGTACTTCTTAAGAAACAGAATGCGATCCAAAGAAAGAACTATGAAAGTCGAATCGCTATCACTTATGTTTAGTTTCATCTTTCTGTTGGTTCCTCCTATTGGTTTTAATTTGTACTTACAACCTCACTAATGTGAAAATATGTTTAATGGGTATGTAAATGTAAAGCCTATATCAGATTGTGCGCCATCTTGGGGAGGGTGGGGGGGAGGAGGGGGGAGAAAATTTTCAACTCAAAGTCAGGTGGAAGTGATTGTTAATAAATCAATAAATTAATAAAATTGGGGGGGGAAAGAAACAGAATGTGAAGGGGCAGACTTTAGACTTTTTCATCTTTTTAAAATTGTGTTATTTTCCCCATATCTGAGAAGGATCTTTATAAAGTCAATCTATTGTAATAGAAAGAGCCTAGGATTTGGACCTGAGATTAGATCCTGGCATTACTACTTCCTCCCTTTATTACCTTGGACTTAACCTGTCTGCTATACAGCTTCCTGAACTATAAAGAAAGGGAATTGGGGGTAAATGCAGAGGTGTGCCGGAAAATGTTTAACAACTCAATCTATGGAGAGAGGGGAATGCACAGAGGAGACACTTTTAAATTTTATCTGCATTATTAACTTTTAGTTAATTAGTTATTTTAATTTTATGGTAATTTAGTTAATTAGTTTCTTAAGGCTAGACAATCAATAAAACAATAAATCAAACTGATTTGTAGTGTTTGCTGATTTCCAAGGTATAAATGCCCACCCTGAAAAATTTAACTTCTGGCTCTCGAAAAGCCTATTTAACCTGGCTCCAACCTACCCCTTGCTAAATATCGTCTAAGGCCCCTTCCTACACAACATCCTCTGATCAGAATTTTGTTTTGCTTTAGATAGTGCTGAAAGAGGTGATGTTAATAACTAAAATATAGCCTCAAGTAAATTCTCTCACTTCCCCAGATGCTGCCATTTTTCTCATCTGCAAATTGAAGATGTTGGTTTAAGTGGTTTAAAATTTACTGAATCTCTTACCAAAATTGTTGGATTGATTTTGGAGGCTTCAAAAGAGAGATATGAAGAGTTGGGGAGGGGAGGCGAGGAAAGGAAGAGAGAGACTGAGAGATGGGCATGTGGTTGAGAGGAATCTAGATGCGTAGCTCAGTGTAGCACTTGGTTAACTTTAAACTTTTTTTTCTCCCTGAACATTTACTTTCAGAAGTCATAGTATCGACTTTCAGAAGATGCTACTTGATCATTATCCTGTCCGACGTCTCTGTACTCCATCATCTATCCAAAACCCCGCTCATGTGCTGGCCACTAAGTGGCATTGGTATTGGAAGAATGAATTGGACCAGTGGATTGAATATGGAAAAAAGGTGAGCATCCGTTTCCTTCCTGATAATGCTCTTGTTCAAAACTCAAAGGTTTTTTAAAAAAAAACCCATTAAATATTTTATTTTTAAATTTTATTAATTTTTTTTTTGAGTTTGCCTTTTATGTTCAGACCAGGATCTGTACATTTCTGGCAGGAAAACCTAAGCTGGTTCTTTCTTTGGGGTATTGAGTATTGTGTTATTCGAGGATGTCAGGGACATCTCAGGCTGAGGACCTGCAAACTTTCAGGGCTCTCCAAAAGGGATCAGATTCAGGGCAAAGCCTGGTTACTGTTCCCCTGGTCTGAGCTCTGCAAGATCTTGCCCTGGGTTTGGGTCTGGACAGCGGTAGATTCTGCTACTGTATTCAGCTCCTGTCTTCCAGATGTAAAGCTCTGTTGGTTCAGAGTGTTAGAACTGCAGGCTCCCTTTAGTCTGGGATTCCTATATGAGCCTTGCATCAATATGGCTCCATCTCCCTTTGGGTGCTTCTTCCAACTTATTATGTAGGATGTGGACTCACCTCATCATAATCAGCTGAGAGCCCCCCTGAGGAATCCTGCTTCTACTTCCTTAGTTTTACTGAATCCTAGTCGTGTGACCGGGACATAATGGAATCACCTTCCCAAAGAAACAAGTAAACATACTTGGAGACAGCATTTTTATTCTTGGCATAGAATCGATAAAAGCAATAAGATGATGCATAAGAAAGGAAACATACTATGTGCCAGGCAATGCGGTAAATATTTTAGAAATATTATCTCATTAGATCCTCACAGCAACTCTGAGAGGAAGGTACTATTATTATCCCCATTTTATAGTTGAGGAAACTGAGGCAAACACAGGTTAAGTTACTTCCCTGTGATCACACAGCTGGCAAGTGTATGAGGCAAGATTTGAACTCAGGTCTTCCTGACTCCAGTGTTCTTTCCACTGCGCCCCCTGGCTACATAACAAACTGTCTGTGGTAAAGCCTTGAGTTCATAGCTTCTTCCAGATCCAGGCAGGTCCCAGGCAGTACATAAGCTGTTCTTATTACCCCCATTTTACAGATAAGGAAATAGGCTGAGCAAGTTTAAGGGACTTGCCCAGGATTATACAGCTAGTTAAGTGTCTCTGAGGCAGGATTTGAACTCAGGTCTTCCTGACTTATAAATCCAACGTTCAGTCCTGTCTCCCACCTAGCTGCCTGGATTCAACTAGATGATCCTCAACATTCCTCCTAGCTCTGGCAGTCTGATTCTGAGTTTTACTTTCTTACCAGAGCGGAGTAGGGAAAAGGGGGCCATGATCACTCCAGAGCCACTACATGCAGTGGGCTTTTGTAGCCAGGTGGGTTGTCCTCCACCAACCCTTCCAGTGAGGTGCCCCCTAGAGCTCTATGTGAAAGGTCCGCATGTGAAAGTGTTGCTATTTCGTTATGAATTGGAAAAGACATCCCTGAGGGGTTTAGCATTAATTCACGCATCGGTCAGTTACTGAATTTGGACTAAGAATGTGTGAGGAGAATGCCACGCAAGGGCCCATGGTCGCAGGATGGTTGTGATGTTCCGGGGTGCCTGGGGCGCCTCTGCTTTTGTGTGTGTGTGGCTTGGAACACGACTCCTCTCTAAGAAGAGCTAGCCTTAACAGAGCACTTGACCACGGACCTAACTTGTTATCTTATCGGATCCTCACAACCTCTCTGGGAGGTAGATGCCATTATTGTCCCCATTATACAGAAGAGGAAACTGAGGCTCCGGTCTTCCCTCTCCACCCACCCCTTTAGTGCCTTCCCTCTGAGATTCCCTCCTATTTACACTATGTATTTTGTAGGCACCTTGCTGTTTATGTTTTTTTCTCCAATACTCACAATAGTGTGAGTTTCTTGAGGGCAGGGACTTTGTTTTTGCCTTTTCTCCCCAGCACTCATCTTAATTGCTTAATATATGCTTGTTGACTGAGGCTGAAGTAGGTTAAGCTAGTTACCCAGGACCATGCAGCTTGTAAGGATATCTGGGGAAGGATTTGAACTCAGGTTTTCCTGACTCTAAATCTTGTGCTTCAGCCACTGGTCTGTGCCCCATGGTTTTGTTGACGTGAGTCCATGATAGTCTGTTGGACTCCTCAAGCATTCCGATGTATATTTCTTTATTGGGAGAGTTGAATGATGATGTCATCTGCTGAGCTGTTTGACAGCTTGGTCTGACTTTGCCAGCTGCAACGACTGCCTCCGCTCTCTCTGTTAGAGGTGCGAAGATAAAACAGGGAAGGATTTCCAGAGGAAAATCTTTAGTCCCTTGCCCAGGCTTGAAGGGGATCGCAGACACCGTCTGTTTTAATCAAATGACATTAGGCACTATAGTGATGGTTTCTTTGGAAGCCTTTGAAAGTCCCACTCATTACTGGTTTTTTCTTTCCCATGTGGTGTCAAACAGGAGGGTTCAGAATTCACTTCTGGAGACCTGGAGTTCTTCTTTCTGCTCTGTCCAGAGGAGTTTGTGGAATTTTCAGAAGGTCTTCATAGATACAAAGTGAACTTTAACGGTACGGCTTCTCTGAGGGGGTCTTTTCGTGTTCTTGGCGTCAGTGCATTTAATATCCATTTGGTTCTGTTTACTATGTTCTGCATCAGTTCATTCAAAGCTTTCTAGAGTTTTCTGAATTTCTTATTTGTCATGTGGCATATGAGTGTAATAAAGTATTATTTGGTAGTAAGAAATGATGAAAACGAGGAATTCTGATGAACGTGAGAAAGCTCAAATGTATCTTTGAAATCTTTGAGATTGACCTAAATTGAATTGAAAGTATGGTTGATTAAAAAAGGGGAAGTAGGCTTTCACAGTTTTTTACAACACATCTTTTCAGAGTCACACAGGTGACTGAAAGAGAGAGTGCAAGATCTTGCTATATTTACTTTTTATTTATTATTTTAAAAAACAAAACACATTGACCAGGTAGAGCAAAATTTAGTCTTAAAGGCTCTAACAGGAAGACTTTAATGAGTCAGGAAGACCTGCGTTCAAATCCTACCTCATACACTTGCCAGCTGTGTGATCACAGGCAAGTAACTTAACCTGTGTTTGCCTCAGTTTCCTCAGCTGTGAAATAGGAATTATAATAGCACCTACCTCACAGGGTTGTTGTGAGAATCAAATGAGATATTTGTGAAATGCTTAGCCCAGTGCTTGGTATTTGGTAGGCACTTAATAAATGCTTATTCCCTCCATCCATGTTAAAACCATAGAAGATTCCTATCAATTGAAACATGGAACAAGATGATGTAGATAATGTCCCAGGGACATCATCCTGTATTGTGGGAGTCCAAATGGAAGAAAGTTTTCTTGTAGTTGGGGAGGTCCCCCAGATGCCCCTGTTTGTGGATTATATTGTCCTGATTGTATCATGCCCAAGATTCCCACAGGAAATCCTTAATGAAATCCAAGATTTCTACAGAGAGATTGGTGTAAAGGCGATATGGGAAAAACTAGACCAGTGAAGAAGGCTTGTTGCCCAGACTATTACAGCTAGATGAGCAGCCTGTGGAATTAGTCCCATCAGATCATCTCTCATGAACAAGACCAGAGTTTCTTAACTTAGAGCTTGAACTACTTCTTCCTTTTTTTTTTTTTTTTGGCTAGGCAGTGGGGTTAAGTGACTTGCCCAGGGTTACACAGTTGAACTTCTTTTTTTAAAAAAATCCTTATTTCCACATAATTGGATTAACCAATTAATTTATGCATTTAAGAGCATTACTCTGAGGAAGAGTCCATTGGCTTTACCAGATTGCCAAAGATTTTTCTTTCATCCACAAGAAAGTTGAAGTACCCTTGCTCTAGTCTAGACCAAAAGTTAAACTCCTCTGATTCTTTGCAGGGTTCTCAAAAAGACAGATACTATCAGTGAATACAGATTTTTATCTGTGACAATTACCTATGCAAAGATTTCTCTTTCCTTTGTATTATATTATTGGCACATCATTAGCTATTTAAATACATTAAAAGGTCACTCATTATTACTTATGGATGGAGCATATATATTTATTTGTAGGACAAGAGGGGAGGATAGACCAGAGTTTGCAAATTAGCATCTGTTTAGTTAAGGGTTAATTCAAAAGCAAGGCAGTTATGAGTCAGCAGAAGTCATGATATTGAGAAGGCCAGATTGAGTTTCAGGTCAGTTAGCATCCTGCTGTTTTAGTGGGTGCACTAGGATGAGGCAGATTTGTCAAAAAATGCAAAGACTAAACTTACCTGTGACTCAAAGGAGAAGTCGGAGAGAGAGTAAGAAAAAGAGGGACAAGAAGAGAAGTGGAGGCCAGATGAATACAATCTTTGATTGACTTACCACCAGCCATGAGAATTAGGTTTTGTGCAGAGGAAAATGTGGTAGCCCCATCCTTCCTTCACTGGGGCATTCTACATAGCAGCTGCTATCTGTGGCTGTGATAGAAATAACCATTTTAACTTTGGACTGACTTTTTTTTTCTGTCTAAAGAAATGATCCAGACAAACGTAGTCTCTCATACTAAAAGGGAGGTCCGAAGGAGGCCTGAGTATGTGTCCTCTGTGACTCTGTACTGGACTCAAAAAAAAGAAAAGTAAGTATCTGACTGAGCACTCCTATAGGTTACATCATCAATTAACTCATGAGATGTTCAATAAAAACTCAGTTGAATTCATGAGAACTAATCCAGGCAAGGTGGAAATTGACTTTCATGTTGTCTTCAAGCATTTATTCCATTTGCCTACTTTGTGACGAGCTCTATTCGAGGCCTTGGCATGACAGAACTAAAACAAATTAGTCCCTGCCTTCAAGGACATTCTATTGGGGGAAACAGTATGTGTATAGAAAATTCAGTTAAAAATCTCTGCAAAATAGATATGGTGTGATTTCCAGGGTGAGGGCACTAGCAACTGAAAGAATTAGGGAAGTCTTCCTGTGGGAGATAGTATTTGAGCAGAGCCTTGAAGAATCTAGAGTTTGTCGGAAATGTAGGTAAGGAGGGGAGTGCATTTCAGGTGTAGAGGATAGCCTGTACAAAGACACAGAAATGAGAGTTCTCATGTCTTATACAAAAAAACAGCAAATCGCTTAGTGGAGTTGGAATGGAGAGTGATGAGTAATGAGCCTGGGAAGGTAGTATGGAGACGGGTTATGAAGGGTTTTGTATTTTAACCTACATGTTTGAGGAAACCACTGGATCTTCTTGAAAAGGGGATCGATGTAGTCATATCTTTGCTTTAGGAATATTGATATTCTTAATGTAGTCATGCGAAGGATGAATTGGAGAGGGGAGAGACCAAAATCAAGGAAACCAATTGAGAGACCACTACAGTAGGCTTGGTGAGAGTCTGAACTCAGATAGTTGTGGTGGTATCAGTTCAAAAAATGAGACATTCAAGAGATATTGTAGAGGGGGAATATTTTATTCTTGGCAATTGGCTGGATGTGGGAGGTGAGTGACAGTTACTCTAAGGTTGTAAACTTGGGCAACTAAAAACAAAAATAAGGAAATTAGAAAGAAGGACAAATCTGAAGGGAGAGATGAATTCTGTTTTAGATATGTGGAGTGTGAGATTCCCTTGTGACACCAGTAAGAAATGTCCTATAGGTAGCTATTGATAATAGGATTATAGATTTACCTCCAAAAGAAACCTTAGAGGCTATCTGTTACAGATCTCTCACTTTGCAAATGAACAAACTGAAGCCTAGAGAACTTGACCAAGGTTATGTTTTGGGACAAGGATTCAAGAGAGAGACCAGAGCTAAATGTGTAGATTTGAGAATCATCTGCATGAGAATGATAGTTAAACCCCCATGGGAGTTGATGAGAACAGAGAGAACGCCCTGGAGTATACACACATGTAGGTGGAGAAAGGGACTTCTAGAGAAGATGGCTGCTTGGATGAGAGGCAGACTGTCTCTGTACCTATGCCAAGAAAACCCCAAAGTTCACAGTGGACTGAATAATGAGCAAGAAATACAATGAGAAACTATACTCCTACCCCAGAACCCTAGGAAAAGTCAAGAAATAGGAAACAGGGCCCACTGACCATATATTATAATACATAGGATTCTCTGAAATGGCTCTTTTTTAAAACCTGGGCACTATATGCAGAAGTCCCAAATAAAAACTGCACACATCTGTTAGAATCAGAGGCCAAAGTAAAGATAGAATCCACCAGTACCTTCCTAAAAGGAACACCAAAGGAAGAAGTCCTAGAAATGTCTTAACTAAAATCCAGAGTTCCTACATCAAAGAAATAATACTACAAACTTCCAGAAAGAAGCAGTTCAGGTATTAAGGAACTACGTTCAGATCACACCAAGAGCTGGCAGCATCTCCCATGAGAGAGAGGAGATCTTTGAATGTAGTATTCTAAAAGGCTGTCACCTGTGGTGCTGAGATGGATGGTGAAAATGCTGTCGTCAGTCTTGTCTGCCCTTATTAGTGTCAGCTTGAGAGCAAGGCAGTGTTAGTGTCAGTTGAGAGCATGGACTGCCTCACTTTTAGATTTATATCCCCAGCACTTAGCACAGTATCTGGCAAATAGTAAGCACATAATAAATGATTTTTCATTCAGTCATTCATTCCTGCCAAGTGCCTTCTTATTCCTGTCCTATGGTATTTATTATAGTCTTGCCACATTTAATAGTTATTTGTGGTCTGTGACATGACTCTTTTTATGTCTCCATCATACCTGATACCGTACCTTACAGGTTGATGGTACCACAGGATTGTTTGCTAAATTAATGAAATGAGAGAATCTGGCAGTGCTGACAGGTGGTACCTCGTGTGTGTGTGTGTGTGTGTGTGTGTGTGTGTGTCTGTGTGTGTGTGTGTGTAGAACATATGTGTGTATGTGTTATGAAGTGAGATACTGTATATGTGTGTATGTATTTTTTGTATGTGTATGTTATGAAATGAGGCACCACATGTATGTGTATATATGTATTATGTACGTGCATATGTATATGTTGTGTATATGGTACCTTATTTCATAACATATATATACATTTCTATTTCTAGACACAGATTTAATAATATACGTAGATAGGGTATACACACATATATGGTACCTCATTTCATAACATACATACACATATGTACATATATTATACACACACATTTATTTCAGAAGAGTCCACTAGAAAAGAATAAGAAAGTCACTGTTCTCTCGGGAAATCGTAGAGAGATAAAATTTCAGGGTTTAAGGTAGAAACTACAGGGACTAATCAGTTCTTACTTTTTACTTATGTTTAGTCAACACCAAGAGCAGAGCAAGAGAGTTTCCTTCAGTTTTCCTTCACACTGGGACGAGCTGAACCCGCCACATACACAATATAAGGTATGCTTCTTTCTTATTTCTTTAATGTATGAATTAGTCCAAGAGAGGGCTTTGGGATGACTGAATGTAGTTCGCAACTATGCCTAGTGATAGGGGAGGAGAAAAATGGGAAAATCATAAACGAGAAACTTTTTCTCTTGTTTTTGTTTATCTTTTTTTCCCCTGAGAATTTTCTTCTGAAAAAAAGAATCATGATTTTAATGGTGCTGCTGCAAATCTCACAGAAACAAGAAAAGATATAGTACTAGGGAGTACCTGTACAAGTAGGACTGGTTGGGAATACTAGGTTTTTGTTTGTTTGTTTGTTTTGTTTTGTTTTTAGTTTATTATTTGTTTTTTTTTAACATTCTTTTCTTTTTAAATTTTGAGTTCCAAATTCTCTGCCACTTCCCTCCCATCCTTCCTCCCCTCTCTGAGAAGAGAAATAATAGGATATCAGTTATACATGTGAATCATGAAAAACATTTCCATATTAGCCATATCACAAACACATACAAAAAAAAGCGAGAAAATTATACTTTAGTCTGCCCTTAGAGTTAGTTCATCAGTTTTCTCTCTGGAGGTGGTTTCTTTGATCTCTTTGGAGTACAGACATAGTAGTGATAGTAATGGCTCCAAAGATATGTAGAGTTTTGTAGCCTTTTAATCATAGTTCCAGATTGTCCTCCAGAATGGTTGGACTATTCCCTACTCCACCAACAATTCATTAATGCCCCTATTATCCCTCATTCCTTCCAGCATTTGTCATTTCTCATAGGTGTGAGGTGGTACCTAAGAGTTGTTTTAATTTGCCTTTCTCTAATCAATAATGATTTAGACCACTTTTTTTTCATATGACCATAGATAACTTTTATTTCTTCTGAAAAACACCTGTTTATATCCTTTGACCATTTGTCAATTAGGGAATGGCTCTTATTTTTTATAAATTTGATTTAGTTTCCCACATATTTGAGAAATGAGGCCTTTAGCTAGGTGGCATAGCATATAGAGTTCTGGGCCTGAAGTCAGGAAGACTCATCTTTGTGAGTTGAAAATCTCACCTCAGACACTTACTAATTGTGTGACCCTGGGCAAGTCACTTAACCCTGTTTGCTCATCTGTAAAATGACTAGAGATGGAAATGACAAACTACTCCATTATCCTTGCGTAGAAAACCCCAGATGGAGTCACAGAGTCAGATACAACTGAAATGACAGAAGAACAACAAGAAGGCCTTTATCAGAGAAACTTGATGTAAAATTTTTGATATTACTTAATTGTCTAGCTTTTAGCAAAATGTAGTTTCTCTGATTATCTCTTTTAATTAGGTCTGTTTTTGTTTTTGCCCTGTCTGAGATCATGATTGCTACTGCTGCCTTTTTTTACTTTAGCTGGAGAGTATTAGATTCTTTTTATCTGAACTGTGTGTCTCTGTTCCAAGTGTGTCTCTTGTAAATAACATATTGTTGGATTGTGATTTCTAATCCATTCTGTTAGCTGCTTCAATTTTATGGATGAGCTCATTCCATTCATAGTCACACTTATAATAACTAACTGCATTTCCCTCCTACTTTGTTCTGTTTATCCATCTCTGTTTTTACTCTGTCCCTCTTCAGAAGTCTGTTTTGCTTCTGACCTCTGCCTGCCTTAATCTGCCCTCCCTTTTATCATCATCCCTCAAAATTCTTATTTCCTTCCCTTATTTCTTTATTGGATAAGATAGGTTTCTATACACAACTAAGTATGTATATATATTCTTCTGTCTTTGAACCAGTTTTAGTGAGAGTCAGGTTCAAGCACTACCTGCCATTTTCCCTTCCATTATAAAAGCTCTTCCTTGAACACTTCTTTGATGTAAGAAAATTTTCCTCATTCTTCCTTGTCGCCCTTCTCCTGCTGTGTCCCTCTTTCTTACTTCTACATTTTTTTTTTTGGAGATCATTCCTACCATAATTGATTCACGACAGCGCTTTTTGTCTATATATGTTTCTTCTGACTGACCTAATGATATCGTTTTTAGGAGTTATGTGTATCATTTTTCCATGTAGGAATGTAAAAGGTTTAATTTTATTGAGTCCCTTATGATTACTCATCCATGCTTACCTTTTTATGCTTCTCATGAGTCTTGTGTTAAAAAGTCAGATTTTCTATTCAGCTCTGATTTTTTTCATCAGAAATGCTTGAAAGTCCTATCTTTCACTAAGTGTCCATTTTTTCCCCTGAAGAATTATACTCATTTTTGCTGGATAGACTATTCTTGGTTGTAATCTTATCCTTCTGGAATATCATATTCTAAGCCCTCTGATCTTTTAATGTGAGAGCCACTAAATATTGTGTGATTCTGACTAGAGCTCCATGATATTTGAATTGTTTCTGGTTGCCTGCAATATTTTCTCCTTTACCTGGAAGTTCTGGAATTTGGGTATAATATTCCTGTTCCCCTCAGAAAAGGGGAACAGAAGCAGCACTTTCTGTTCCTGCTCTCTCCAAGGCCCACCAATGATGTTCCTGCTATGCTATGGGCCTGCAGCCACCCTGGTGTTACAAACCTCTCTTGTGGACCTCCTGAGTTGCCTTAGGTTGTAAAAATGTCTCCTGATATTTTTGTTGGCTCTCCTGCTCCAAAATTTGATTTTAAGCATTAATTTTAAAGTAGTTTGGAAGGAAATGATGGAAGGGGCTTGTACTCCTCCATTTTGATTCCCCTTTTCTTGGAAATACTTATAGTTGGTATTACCCCCAGTCACACTTGGGCCTCTCAAGTACAAGGTATTCTGCACACCTGCAGCTTTTCAAAATCATGACCTCTTACCTTCATTGTGTGAACTTTTGCCCACAAAGACATTTAAACAAACAGTATACCAAGTAAAGTGACAAAGGATTCCCCATCACCACACCATTAGTGGGTAGGGTTATACTCAGAACATATATGACCAGAGAATATACTTGAAATGCATTCAGGTAGAAAAACATATGTTACCAGTGAACATCTATGAAGAGACACGTTAGGAACTCATGGAGACCATTTGTGGCAAGAGCAGCTTACATCTCTGATGTTAGGCTGATGACATTGTGTGGTGATGTTATCACACTGTTTTTTCTGGACTCTTTGTCCTCATGGTTGTAAGGACTCTGCTAGTCATTTTTTCTGTGACCAACTTCTGAGAGTCATTTCTTCATCTTAGTTTCTGTTTCCTAGGATGTTGTGATTAGAAAGCCTCTTCCTGATAAGGGTGGGTGGACAACTCTTTAGTCATAATCAGGGCTGTTGAACAAAAGCTAGGCAGAAGTATTCTGTACTGATGATATGCTTTATCTATTGTGCCAGATAACTTAGGGTGAAAATAATCACAAAGATTGGCTTGCAAGTGAACTTGAGCCAGAGCAAAAGCTAAAGGAAGGAAGCATGATCTTTTCTCTCTTAACTTCCAGGCCCATTTTCCTATCTTTATATGTATATATTTAAATGGCAAAAAAGAAGCAAAAAGCTCTTGACTTTGAGCCTATGTTTTTATCAGCAAAAATCCTCCCTGTCTCCCTAAATTCTCCCAAGAAAAAATTTTGTAGTCCTGGAGAATTATATGTTGTAACATTGGATCTGACACTTGAATATGGTACAGACATACCTCAGAGATATTGCAGATTAGGTTCCAAACTGCGACAATAAAGCAAATATTACAATAAAGCATGAATTTTTTGGTTTCCAAGTACATATAAAAGTTATGTTTGCATTATACTGTAGCCTATTAAGTGTGCAGTAGTATTATTTCTAAACAAACAATGTGGCAGCTAGTTCCTCATTGGGGCCCCGGTTCATAATCTGGAGCATGTCACCCTCTGCCACAGGCCTCCCTCTACTCAGAGTAGTTTCCTGTAAACTCTCTTAAAGTGTCCCTCTGGTTTACAGTAAAACACACACATACACATGCCCCCCCCCTTTTGTTTTCTAAATCTCTCTTTTGGGTCCTTAATCCCTTCTCTGCCTTCCTTAATTAATTGCCTCCTTCATGGGTGCCATCAACATCTTTATTTCCTTAACCTTGTCTTCCTTCTCTCTGATCATTCTCTACAAAAAATGTTTCTTAAGAGTATCATGGTCTTTGTTTCTGAAAAATCTAGAATCTATATGGCCATAGTAATGAGGGGCTACTAGTATTGGTTGGAAAGTTCTGCCCAACAGTACCATGTTCTATTTGCCTAGGCTCTAGATATTTTTTTTAGTATGTGCAACTGACCATAATCAAAGGTCCTGAATTCATCTGGCCCAGGGGTGGGGAACCTGTAGCCTTGAGGTCACATGTGGCCCTCTAGGTCCTCAAGTGAGGCCCTTTGACTGAATCCAAACTTCATAGAACAAATCCCTTTAATAAAAGGATTTGTTCTGTAGAAGTTAGACTCAGTTAAAAGTCCACACCCAAGGATCTAGAAGGCCACATGTGGCCTTGAGGCTGCAGGTTCCCCACCCCATTCTGGCCAAATTTGTTGGCCACAATTGCCTACATTTCAAATCCAGTCCCTGCTGAGCTATACCGCTCAAGTTTTGGACATTCCCTATTGAACTGGCAGTTTTCCCTTGCCCCAAGCATTAACCTTGCCTAAGTGGGAGTCAGCAGTGATGAGGTAGAAAAGAGCACTTGAGGCAGATGGAGCAAGCAAGACGAGAAATAGGAGATAAGATGCAGAATGTGACCAGCCAGAAAAGTGATCAAAGAAGACTATGTATTGAATCCCCCACTGTGAACTTATCCATGTGCTTTCACAAAGCACCCTTAATTCTAGAACAGTTCTTCCCTTCTTTTTTCCTGTTCTCTTTGCTTATCACCTCAGGACTACCTGATATCCCAGGCATTTTGGAGCCAAGCTTGCTTCTCCCATTCTTTTGTCCTCTTCCCCCATTCCATAAAATTATATTTAAACTGTAACTTTGACCGGGTCCACTCTCCTCCTTTAGGGGAATGGGGGCTGTGGCCTATCTATCCTCTGCCTCCCACATGGAAAACAACCCACTGGGGCTCTGCCTC